CCCAGCTCCACAGGCTGATGAGAGCCAGCTGCTGCTTCCCTCAGGCTGGGGGAGCACCCTGAATTCAGGGGTCTGGGCCCCCCAGCAAGGGTTTGCTCCTTTGATCAGCATCACTCAGGGTGGCTGGGATGGGGATGAGGAGGAACCTCTGAGAGGGATTTAGGCCTGTGCTGAGGAGCAGCAGGGGCTGCTGAGCACCAGCCAGGGGCAAATCCTGGGATAAGGCCCAGGAAGGGGGAGAGGAAGCAGCTATTCCCCACCAGAAACATCTCACTCCCCCATTGTTCAAGGCAGCAGAGACACTGTCCAAGCCCCTTAACTCTGCCTGAAGTCCCCACAAAGATCTGTCAGGAGTTGTGGCTCCAGGAGGGCAGCAGGGATTTGGGATGGATTTAAGCAGAGGGATGAAGTCTCCCTGTGCATGCACCCCTCCATATCCAGGCATCCCCCTGCCTGTGTGTGCATCCTCATGGGATTTGCATACACACCCCTGTCCCCCTTTTAGCCCCTCCCCAGTTCTCAGTTCAGCCAGTTCTTTGCTGATTTGGGGTCCCTGTGCCAGCCTCGGAGCGGGGCTGGGTCCTCCCTAGTGGATTTTTCCTCTGCTGGAAAAAGGGACGGATCCATCACTGTCCGGGTGCTAAATTTAGCTGGGTACCAAGAAGGCAGGGCCTGTACCAGGAACTGGGGGGGCCCTGCTTGCCTTTTGCTCTCTGCCATAATGGGGTGTGAAGGGGAGCAGGGTGAGGAACCTGGTGAAAGGGGCCAGGGAGGACCCCAGCACCCTCCCTGCCCTCCATGCTGGACCCCTTTGCGTCAGCCCTGTTTGTGCTGCTCCCCAAACCCTCCTCATCCGTGGGCTTTGAGCATCTGGGATCGTCCAAAATGTCCTTCCCAGACCGGCTGGATCCTCTCCCCGGGCGCCCCGCACCTTTGGGGAAGGCACACATACCCCTGGGTGTGGATGTGGGGAGGTGGGATGCAGGCAGGACCCCCAGCCGTGGGTCTGGCTGTCGTGGGTGGGTTGGGACCCCCAGCACCCTCCCTACCCTCCATGCTGGACCCCTTTGCGTCAGCCCTGTTTGTGCTGCTCCCCAAACCCTCCTCATCCGTGGGCTTTGAGCATCTGGGATGGTCCAAAATGTCCTTCCCAGCCTGGCTGGATCTCTCCCTGGGCGCCCCACACCTTTGGGGGAGCCACACTTACCCCTGGGTGTGGATGTGGGGAGGTGCCAGGTGTGGGATACAGGACAGATCCCCAGCCATGGGTCTGGCTGTCGTGGGTGGGTTGGGACCCCCAGCACCCTCCCTACCCTCCATGCTGGACCCCTTTGTGTTTGTGACCCTGTTTGTGCTGCTCCCCAAACCCTCCTCATCCGTGGGCTTTGAGCATCTGGGATGGTCCAAAATGTCCTTCCCAGCCTGGCTGGATCCTCTCCCCGGGCACCCCGCACCTTTGGGGGAGCCACACTTACCCCTGGGTGTGGATGTGGGGAGGTGGGATGCAGGCAGGACCCCCAGCCGTGGGTCTGGCTGTCGTGGGTGGGTCGGGACCCCCAAAACACCCCCCCCGTGCCTGAGCTGACAGCCCCGTTCTGCTGTGCCCTGCAGATGTGCACCCCCAGCAACACGCCGGCCACGCCGCCCAACTTCCCGGACGCGCTGGCCATGTTCTCCAAGCTGCGCACCTCGGAGAGCCTGCAGAGCAGCAACAGCCCCATCACCTCCATGGCCTGCTCCCCCCCGGGCAGCTTCAGCCCCTTCTGGGCCTCCTCGCCCCCCAGCCAGCAGCCCGCCTGGCTGCCCCCGTCCTCGCCCACCACCCACGGCCTCCACCACCACCTGCACCACCCGCAGCCCTCCTGGCCGCCCACCCCCCCGGCCCCTGCCCCCCCACAGAAAGCCGTGGCCACCATGGATGGGCAGAGATAAGGCTGGGGCTGGCGGAGGGTTGGGGGGGTCGGGGGGGCCGGGCCGGGGCGTTGGGAGCAGGGGCTCTCGCCGAGAAACGCACTGGAAGAATTTTCTAGGTTTTATTATTATTTTTAAGGGGGGGGGGAGCACGTGCTGCCAGGGAGGGCACTGACCCGTGAGAGCCTCTGGCTGCTCTCTACTCCCTTCCCCTTTTTTTAAAAAAAATATATAACTATAATATATAAATATATCTAATGTATATAAATCCAGAGAGAAGGAGCAGCAGCGTGGAGGCAGCTGCTGGGTGTCTGGGGGGTTTTCCCTGTGGCTCTATCCCCACCCAGCATCTCTACATCAGGGCAGGAGAGGGAAGGGGAGGACATGAATAACAAAAATAAATGGATGGACGTGGCTGTTGGCACCCCAGACCATAGCCACAGGGACGTGGAGCCACTGGACACCCTCCCCAGCTCTGGCTCCCTGGGCCCTTGTTGCAGTGCCCAGAGCAAAAGCAGCTCTCTGGCTCCCGAAATTCAGCCCGGCTTCTTGCACAGACCCCCCCCCTGGACTTGCCCCCAACCCTGTCCTCCCTCCCTCAGCACCCCCAGGGCCTGGGGGTTTATCAAAGTGATGTCCCCCTGTCCCTGTGACCGCCCTATGTGGTGCTTCCCCAGGCAGGGGGGAGCTGGGGGTTTTTTAGTTTTCAAATCAATGTTGCTTAAAAAAAACAAATAGAAAAACAAACCAAAAAAAAAAGATAAAAAAGACCCAGCAAAAAAAAAAAAAAAAAAAAAAAAGGGTGGAAGGTTTTTTTTTAACGGAAAAACAAACCAAAAAAAAAAAAAGATAAAAAAGACCCAGCAAAAAAAAAAAACAAACAAAACAGGTTGAAGGTTTTTTATTAATTTAAAAAATAATAAAAATTAAAAAAAAAAATCACTTTTTTAACACCAGCTGTCCCTGCCTTTTCTCTCTGCTGGGAGGGTGTCCCTGGCAGGGCACTGAAAATGGGGGTGACTCCTCTGTGAGGCAGTGTCATCAGTGGGGACTGAGTCTGTGCCCTGCCTCCACAAGCCACCTCTGCTGTCCCAGAGAGGGGGGATCAGAGGGAAGGGAAGACCCAGGGCCATGGGGGTGCTGTGCCAGCACAGCGAGGAGCCCCCATGTGCCAGGGGGTGCAGCTGGCACCTCTGTCTGCCCCCTCCCAAAATCTCACAGCTTGCAAAAGCCCCCCCAGCCCCATCACCCACCCAGGGATGAGCCCCCCCCCCCAGGCCTCAGCACTGTGGGGACACTGGGGGAGGGGATGGTGTCCTGAGTGTCCCCCTCTGCAGAAGGGTCACCAGCCAGAGACATGGGAGCTCACCAGGCCTGTGGCCACTGTGTTCACACACCAATTTGGGTAAAACCCCAAAAATTTCGGGAGCACGGCAGCTCTGGAAATGTCAGGAATGACAGGGAGGCTCAAGGCACAGTGCAAAGCTTCCTGCAGGGATGGGGAGGTCCCCAGGCTGGCACAAACTCCAAGGAAAAAAGGCAAAAAAATCCAGCTGGGGTTACTTTACCTGCTCCAAACATCACCCAGGGGTGTTGTGGCTGGGGGTGTTTATAGGGTGCACCTGGATCCTGGGGGCAGCCAAAGGGGATGAGGAGCACCAAAGAGGTGACCCCAGCTGGGCCATGTCCTGCAAATGCAATCAGTCCCAAAGGTGTTTGCTTTTCAGCCCCTCAACCCCAGCCAGGAGTGCAGGATGGTTCTTTGTTGGCTCTGCCCTGGTGCCCAGGGGTTTGCCCAGAGTGTTCCCAGTTATCCTGCAGGATGTGGCACTGGGGACATGCCAGATGCAGCTGTGTCCACCTCAGTACCCCCAAAGAAGGTTTTCAGCAGCTGGTTTTTCCCTGAAAAACCAAACAGCAGGTAGAACATTCCAGGGGGAACTCCCCGTGCCTGTGGAGTGCAGTGGAGCTGACAGGGATGGAGGCTGTCCCTGTGGGGGGACATCCACCGGGAGGGCAGGGCAGCCCCCAGGGGATGTCCCCCATAAGCTCTGGGGCCCCCCGAGGTTCCAGTGGGGTTCCCCTCAAGCTTTCTCACCCGAGAAGTGTGTCCCCCCCAGGAAGTGTCACTGCCTGTGTGTAGAGGGGACATCCCCAGTCCCCTTCGCACACAGCCACGTGTCCCCAGCTGTGACACCCCTCGGTGCCCCCGTGCTGCTCCAGGGGTCCGGGTTTCCCTGCTCGGTTCCTCAGCAGGCACTGGGGCTTCCTCCCATGCACGGGGATGGTGACACGGGGATGGTGACACGGGGGACTGGAGAAGCAGCCCAAGCCCTGGGGTGGCACCAGGGGAAGGAGGGGACGTGTCCCTCTGCTTTTGGCTGGAGCTGGGAGCAGAGGGGTTCGTGCCTTCGGTCGGTGGCAGCGCTGCGGGAGGGACGAGGGGTGGCTGGGGGGGGTTTCTTCACTCAGGATGAGGAAGGCACTTCCATGCTCACCTCCAAGCCATGCTCATCCCGGGATAAGCGGCAGCAAACCAGCGGCTCGGGCTGGGATTTGCTTTTGGCATCAAACTGTGCTCTGCTGCTGCCCTTCCCGCTGAGGTCCCCATTTCCCCCTTCTCCAGCAGCAAATGAGCTCCTCCTCCTCCTCCTCCTCCTCCTCCTCCTCCTCCTCCTGCTTTCCCCTTTTGGGGGTCCCCTGGCAGGGCACGAGTGGGGCTCGGGAGGGACAGGGAGTGCACGACACCAGGGGGCTGACACAGAGCCGGGCTTTCACAGGGGCTGCTTTCAGGACAGGGGATGCTGCCGGACCCTCCGTGTGCACGAAGGACAGATCCTGCTCAGGAGGCACAGGCTGGTGGTCGCCCTTTATTTCTGCAGGCTGGCGTTGCTTGCTCAGTCCGTCCCCGGGGAAGTCCGGCCCCGGTACAAGACTCCATCCTTGCCCATCAGGTCGTAAGTGCCGGGCTGGGAAGGAGGGGATGGGCTGGCTCTGCCACACTGGGCTGCATCCAGCATCCCCAAGCCTGCCTCCCCACCCAGATCCTCCTGGGGACACTGAGGCACAGATGCTCCCCCAGACGCTCAGCATCACTCTCCCAGCCTCGTCCCCACCGTCCCCATCCCTACCATGTTGGGGTCTGGAAGGAGGGGCTCCATGGGCTGCATGGGGCTGGCGCTGGTGTGTTTGCCGCCGGAGTACATCGGTGATCTGCGGTAATAGCCCTCGGCTGCCTGCTCCCTGTGGGACAGGGCACAGGAGTGCTCAGTGCCCGGCACCCTGGCACCCTGTGCTTCAACCTGCTATGCCAGGGAGGGGTGCAGGGGGTGCTCCCCCTCCTCCAGCTGCTGCAGGACACCCCTGCCCACCCAGCCCTGCAGGGTCTGCCCTTTCCCCACAGCCCCAAGAGCTGCCCATGGCTGTGACAGGTCCCGGTGCCCTTTGCAGGGGACACCAGGAGGCAGGAGCAGGCCTGCCCCAGCTCCAGGGCTTGATTTTGGGAACTCAATTCACAGGCGGCACCAAATCCCCACCAAGCCTGAGCTGAGGCTGACACCAAACACAACTCATCCCATGTGCCTTCAGGGCTTGGCAGGACAGCACAGGGGGCTGTAAAACCCCTCTGACCTGGGGCAAGCCCAGCTGACCCTCTGCAGCTCCTCTCTGCCTGGGCACCTCCAGCCCCTTCCACCCCAGCCAGGAGAGAGCTCTGCTTGCTGGGACAGGGCTCCCCAGGGGCCAGGGGGGGTCCCCAGGTCCCTACCTGGGCTCCTGCCTGCGCAGATGGGGCAGGCGCATGGAGAGGCCGGGGGACGCCGGTGGCGTGGACGGGATGAAGTCAGAGCGTCTGGGAGGGTGACAGGGGCCACGGGTGGGTGACAGGGCCAGACGAGCCAGCCCTGACACTGCAGGGCACTGCCAGCACCCCTCTGCCCCTGTCCCACCCCCAATCCACCGGTGCTGGTGCCACTCACTGGCCAGGCAACTTCACAAGCGGTTCACAAGGTGAGTACTCGGAAGAGGGCACCCTCAGGAGCGTCCTAAAGCAGGGAGAAAAGAGCTGGGCAGGCTCCTGGGGGCACAGCCCTGCCTGTGCAGGCAGAGCCAAGAGCTGCGCAGGGAGCTGCAGCATTTTCAGGGGAATCGGGGGGTGCTGAGCCTGGATTCTCCACCACCACCACAGCACAGTCCAATGCACTGGCTGGTTACAAAATAAAGGGGCTGTGATGGGGGAAATGGGCTATTTGTGGAGTCCCACCTGGGACAAAGCTCCAGCTCATACTGGACAATGGTGAATCCACAGAGGGAAACTCCCAAAACCCACTGCTATGGGAATGTCTCCCAGGGGCAACCCAGTCCCATGGGAACTGGGGCAGCTGGCAAGGTCAAAGGAGGGGGTTCCTGTACCCCTTGCTGGGGTGGGATGCTCCCAGCCTGGGACATGCTCACCTCGGTCCCACTGGTGCCCCCAAAATAGGGTGGCTGCTCGTGGCTGCCCAGGACACGCAGGGATGGGAGGTGGAGGGCTCAGGCTCCACAGCTGCCATCCCAACCAGCCTCACACCTTATCCTTGCTGGGTCAGCACCCAGGACCCCCCTGTGCCCTGCCAGGAGGGCAGGTCACCACCTGGCTCTGGCACTGGGTGTCCCAGCCCTGCCAGGGGACAAGCCACTGTCCCCCACACTTGTCACAAAAGCCTTTGCACCTACAGTCCAGCTTCAGCTGGGTATGGCTCCATCCTGACGCCGCCTCCTCCATGTGCCTCCTTGGATGCTGGGAGCCTACTGCCACTGGGAGGAAATCATCATCAGCATCCCCACGGTTCCATCAGTGGATAGTGGATCCAACAGCAGGGCACCACACGGGCCCAGCCAGAGGGAACAGGGCCAGTGCTGTCCCCAAAGCCATTGCTGTCCCTGTGACACTCACCTGCTAGGCCCAGCCATGCTGTCGGCTGGGATCCAGAGGTTCTGGGATCCTGGGTGGCCTCGTACTGACTGCACCCGCTGCACTGGGACATGGGTGCCAGGGGCTCTTGGATGCATTTCTGAGGTGGTGAAACTGCCATCCAAATCCTTTTTCTGAACATGGGGAGCAGCCCGAGCAAGCAGAGCAGTGTTTCAGCCCCAGCTCTCGCCTCCAGAGCTCCACCCCTTTCCCTCAAGGAAGCCCCCTGTGCCACTGTGAGCTTGGTCTTAAACCAGACCTTGGTCTCAGGGCAGCAAGATGGGGTGCAGACCCCAAAGGAGGGGGTGTCTCAGGGGGACCACCCATGGGGTTGGGAAGAGCCCCTACCTTGGAGATGCTCATCTTGGTCTCTTCTTCCTTGATCTCTCCCATGTTGGTCACCTCAGGGGGAATATCCAGGGAGCTGGGAAGAGCCTCTACCTCAGAGATGTCTATCTCGATCTCTTCCTTCTTGATCTGTTCCATGTCATCCTGTCCCATGTCATCCTGTCCCATGTCACTCCATTCTCTGTCACTCCATCTCACATTGCCCTTCTGTCCCATGTCATTCTGTCCTAGGTCATCCTGTCCCACACCATTCTGTCCTCTGTTGCTCCATCGCCCACTCCTTCCCATGTCCTTCTGTTCCGTGTCATTCTGTCCGGTGTCACCCCATTGCATATTTCGTCTCATGTCCTTCTGCCCCATACCCCATCCCATGCCCCTCCTTCCCATGCCACTCCGTCCCCCGTTCTGTCCCATGTCATTTTCCCCGATGGACACTGTGTCGCTGCTCGCATTCTCCTCCTTCCCCTTGCCCTGTGTCTTGCCATCGGAGGACAGAGGGCTGGCAGGCTGGTTCTCCCCATGCCTCGGTGTCTTGGGCTTTTCCACCAGGGTAACTGGAAGAAGAAACCAGAGGGAGCTGCCCAGGGTCAGGGGAGCCAGGGGCAACATGGCAGGGGGACAAGCCAGCAGTGCAGGCCCCCTGCCCGGCCCGCTGTGCCCTCACTCCCTCCGGCTCCCCACCCAGCTGTGCCCAGAGGTACTTTCGTTGCCGATGACGATCAGCCCTTGGTCATCCTCCTCTAGGAGCTGGGGGCCAGACTTCTTGTCTCGGGAGCTGGGTCCACCCATCATGTTCTTCATGGCAGACTGTGAAGGAGAGGATGGGCTGGCTACCACAATGGGCTGCATTCAGGATCCCCAAGCCAGCCTCCCAACCCAGCTCTTCCTGGGGAAACTGAGGCACAGATACCCCCTGGATGCTCAGCATCAGCCTCCCAGCCTTGGTTTCCTTTCAGTGTTTCCTCTTGAGGCTAAACAGCCACAGCACCCTCAGCCTTTCCCCAGGACAGAGATGCCCCAGTCCCCAGACCATCTTTGAGGCCCTCCACAGGACCCGCTCCAGGACCTGTGTCTCATCCCGAGGAGCCCAGAGCTGGACACTGCTCCAGGGGAGGCCTGCCAGGGCTGAGCAGAGGGCAGCATCACCCCCAGAGCTGCTGGAAATGCTCTCCTAACGCCCCCCGGGACACCAGTGCCCTTCTCGTGCCCTCGGGCACAGCGCTGCTCATGGACAGCTCCTTGTCCACCAGGAGCTCCAGCTGCTTCCCCACAGCGCTGCTTTTCCAGCCGGGCAGTCCCGGCCTGGGCTGGTGCCTGGGCTGTTCCTCGCAGGTGAAGGACCCTGTGCTGAACTCCAAAATGTCCCTCCCCAGCCAGTTTAGCCCTTTGGGCATCTCCATGATCATGGTTTTCGCAGCCAACCCAGGGGATCAGCAAACACCCAACTGATGCCATCTAATACAACAGCAAGGCATTCTTGCCTCTAGCAACAGGACTCATGACATCCCTCTGCTGTCCCCCAGCCCTAGCCACCACTGCAGAGAGACCTGGAGGGCAGGGAGCCCTGGTCCTGCCTGATGCTGAGCAAGGAGGGGCTGTGGTGCGATGTCAACGCAGCCTGGCCATACCCAGGGAGGTACCAGCTCTGAACATGGCCCTTTTCTGAGCAGAAAACAAGCTGGGAGCACATGTTAGGCCAGCTGAGGAGCTGCCCTGGCTCAGCCTGTGCCAGGTCCTTCTCCTGGTGGGATGCACAGGGAAGAGGAGTCCTGAGCAACCTCAGCAGAGGCGCTGGGGTGCAGGGGGCTGCGATCCGGCTCCACCTGCCAGACCTTGACCTCCTCTTCCTCCTCCTTCTCCTGCTTTTCTGCCCACCAGGAAGTCCTCCAGCACGTCCCAACACATCATGTTTCTCACCTCCTCTGGGGTTGGGGAGAGCATTAGCCACTTCTCCAGATTTTATTTTGGGAAGGAAGGCATCAGAGCCAGCTGTGTAACTGGGGACAGGATGGGATCCAGAGGAGTGTTGACCCCCTCCCCCGTGCCCCCCAGAACATCTGGGGACCATGTCCTGATGGGAGGGGACCCTACCCTGGGGCAGACCCTGGGTATGCTCAAGGACATACCATGAGAGACTCCAACAGCTGGTTACGGAGTTCATCCATCATTTTCTGGAATTCTTCCTGGAGTAGGGTGAGGACAGGGACAGGAGTCAGAACACAGGAGCAGGATTTTAAAGGGATGTTTGCAAATTCACTTGGACATCAGACAGAGGGGTCCTGGACAGGGCTATGCCAAGTGGCTGTGGCTGTATTTCACAGGTGGACCTTTGTCTCCTCACCCTCCCTGGACCCAGGTTACTTTTTTTTGATGGCTGTTTAGCTCACAAATGCCTCAGCAGCCCTGTCTGAGGGAGGCAGTGACCTCAACCACTGGCCTGACCTGGGGGCAGTGGTGCCCTTCTGCCCTCCCTGGGGCAGTGCTGGCAGAAGGAAAGTGGGGGGCTCCAGGTGGGTTGGGATGAGCACCCACGTTCCGCTCTCTTCCCTTCCCTCTCGTCCCTCCTGGTGCCCTTCATGCTGGGAGCCTGCAAGGGCTGCAGGGCAGGGGCAGCTCAAGGGGGCACCAGTAGCAGCTCACCATGTTAAAATTCTGTAGCATGTACTGCATGTCCTCTGCCATGTGGGACTGCTGCAACTTCACCTCGTTGACCTCCTCACGCAGCTCCTGGCAAAGAGCCCGCACCTAGGAGAGGGGGATGGTGGGGTGAGCCCCAGGGCAGGGTCCCTGGGACCCAGGTCCTTTGCAGCCACCACGGTCTGCACAGAGCCAGGGGCAGTGCTTGGCCTTCAGCACATCCTCAGCAGCAGCTCCCCAGCAGCATGAGGGGGTTGAGACTCCAGAGGAAGGGGTGGCTTGTGGGGAGCACCTGGGGCTGGGAAGAGCCTCTACCTCGGCGAGTTCTTTTTCATTGGCTTCCACTCTCTCCTTTAACTCTTTAAGGAAAGCGAAAGGGCTTTCCTCGGCCCCCTCCAGTGGTTCCCCATTCTCCTGGACAAGCAGATCACGCAGACCCAGGTGCAAAAGCATCCCATTCAGGAGGTTGTGCAGTTGCTCAAAGTCGATGGCTCCAGCTCTTGATGACCCGAGGGCAGCATCCAGCATCTGGCCCAGAGTGAGCGTTGCCATGGCTGCTGGTCTGTCCAAAAGCACAGAACTGCCAGGAACAGGAGCCTCTTGTGCTATTTCTCCGGAGAGGAGCAGGCAGGGTGGCAGGCGGTGGCAGGAGGTGTTAAAAGGAGGAGAAGGAAGAGGAAGAGGTGCACAGCCAACAGGTTCCTTCCTCTTCAGTCTCCTCCTTGCTCCGGAGCCTGTGCCACCTGTGTCCCTCTTTGCAGTGTCCCCCTGCCCTGGCAAAGAGTGCCCATTGTTGCACAGCAATGGCTCAGCCCTGTGTGGAATGTCCCCATTGTCCCCTGCTGCTGCTGATGTCCTGGTTCCAGCAACCAGCAGGACCTGCAAGGGACCACGTGCCACAACACCTCCAGCCTTTACCACTTTCAGCCCCAAAATGACTCCAAGGTCAGCTCACATTGGGCAGGAGGTGCCCCAGGAGCCGCTCGCAGGGTGAGTTGAGCCTGCCCAGGAGAGCTGTGCCCTGTGGAGGGGTGATCCATGTTGTCACACAGCCTGGAGCATTCCAGAACACTCCAGGAGGAGACCAGCCCCAGAGAGGAAGCACCTCCAGTCATTCCTTTTTGGGGTCTCAAAAGGATGAGAGTTTCCCTTCTCCCTTAGATGTGGGAAGGGTGGAAAGCTGCTGCTGCCTCCACCAATACACAGATTTTCAGCACCTCACTCCAAAGCAAAGAGCCATACAAGCAGGGAAAAGCAGATAAACACAAGCAATTTAAACTTCTAAGGAGAGGGAGAAAGGAAGGAGGAAAGGAAGGAAAACAGAGACAAAGTTTAAATTGTGGCTGCCATGGACTGTTAAGAAATCTCTGTTTCCACACGTAGTTCAGGGAAATTTAACTCACGAGCTGTCCGTTGGGGTAGTTGTGTAACCCACGGGCTTTTCATCAGGGAAGTTTAATTTGTGGGCTGCTCAAAAAAGTTGCCACGTGTTGTTCAGAGAATTTTAATCCACACACTGTTGAAATAAACTTAATCTGTGGGCTGTTCCTCGGGCAAGTTTAATCCACATGTTGTCCAGGGAAATTTAATCCACAGGCTGTTCAGGAGTGTTTAAATTGTTGCCGCCAGTCTGTACAACCTATCACAAGGTTGCTGACGAAAACCTCCAACTTTCTAATTGGCTGTTTGGTGCTGTTTTGCCTTAATACAGCTCCAGGACATCCTGAAGGTCCAGGACCACCCTCTCATGGCACATGCTGCCAAAACCAGGTCATGGCCTGCCCTCCTGGCAGGGCACAGGGGGTGCAGAGTGCTCACCAAGCAAGGATAAGGTGTGAGGCTGGTTGGGATGGCAGCTGTGGGAGCCTGAGCCCTCCACCTCCCATCCCTGTGTGTCCTGGGCAGCCGTGAGCAGCTGCTCTTTCAGAGGGGCTCCATCCTGGAGCTGCCCACTCCTCGTGCCTCCCTGAATGACAGAAGCCTGCTGCCTTTGGGAGGACATCACCAGCACCCCCACAGTTCCATCACTGGCTAAGTGGGTCTGATGCCAGGGCATCACACGGCTCCTGGCTATGACAGCCAGAGGGAACAGGGCCAGAGCTGTCCCCAAAGCCATCGCTGTCCCCATGGCACTCAGCTGAGTCCCAGCCACACTGTTGGACAGAGGCTCTGTGCTGCTGGGTGGCCTCGTGCTGGCTGCACACACAGGATGGAGGTGTGGGTGCTGGGGGATCCTGGATGAACACCCCAGGGCGCAGGGCATGGGCTTGCCTTTGTTGAATTTCAAAAGGTTCCTCCCCAGCCAAGGGTTTCAGGCACCAAGGAGGGGCTGTGGTGGATGGAGGGGCTGTGCTGGGATCCAGTGCACCAAGGAGGGGCTGTGGTGGATGGAGGGGCTGTGGTGGATGGAGGGGCTGTGCTGGGATCCAGTGCAGGCTGGCCCAGGCTCCTGCTGTTTCTCCCATCACCCTGAGCACAGCCCTTTTGTGAGCAGAAAACAGAGAGCACAATGGAGCTGCCCTGGCTCTGCCTGTGCCAGGCTGTGCTCCTGGTGGGATGTGCAGGGAGCAGGAGCAGACCTTGGGGCACGCAGTGGCTGGAGGTACTGGGGGCTGCAGTCCTGCTCCACTGGCAGACCTTGGCCTCCTCTTCCTCCTTCTGCTTTGCTGCCCACCAGGAAATCCTGCAGCACCTCCCAGCACGCTGTGCTGCCACCTCCTCTGGAGCTGGAGAGAGGCTGGCAGGAGTGTAGGGAGCTCCAGGTGGGTTGGGATGAGCCCCCACATTCCACTCTTTGGGCACCCTTCCCTCTCTTCCTTCCTAGTGCCCTTCACACTGGGAGCCTCCAAAGGCTGCAGAGCAGCAGAGCAGCCTGTGAGGGGCAGCTCCAGGAGGCACCAGTGGCAGCTCACCAAGTGAAGGGACTCCTGGATGCTCCAGATGTTCTCTGCCATGTGCCCTGCCTTCAAGTCGTTGATCTCCTTGTGGGAGATCATCTCCTGGCACAGAGCCCTGACCTTGGACAGGGGAATGGCAGGGTGAGCCCCAGGGCAGGGTGAGCCCCAGGGCAGGGTCCCTGGGTCCTTTGCCCCCACCCTGGTCTGCACAGAGCCAGGGGCAGCACAGGGCCTGGCCAGGCTGGCACAGGGCACTGTGGGCAGGGCTTGGCCTCCTGCACATCCTCAGCAGCCAAGAAGGGGCAGCAACTCCCCAAAAGCATGAGGGATGCAGACCCCAAAGGAGGGGGTGGCTCAGGGGGAGCACCCAGAGGGGCTGGGAAGAGCTTCTGCCTTGGTGATGTCTCTTTCACTGGCTTCCACTTTCTTCCTTCTCTTCTCCATGTCTGAGGGGCTGGGAACCACAGGGGCCTCTCACAATTCCCTGCAGTGGTTCCCTGCTCTCCTGGGCAGGCAGACCCCACATGCCCAGGTGTCCAAGCATCCCACCTTGGAGGTGGTGGCAGGAGACAGACAAGATTGGCACAGCCAGCAGGCTCCTTCCTCTTCACTCTCCTCCTCATTCTGGAGCCTGCATGTGTCCCTGCCTACAGCTGCATCCAAGACAATTCACTGCAGCAGCAGCTAGAAGAGAAAGCTATGGAGCTACCCTGACCACTGCAATGTAAAAGGTAATCAAGGATAATGCAAACAAATTTCAATGAGAATTTCAACCTTGGTGGCATCCAGTTAACTTCACTTCTGACCCTACCAACAGCAAAGCCACAGCTTTTGCTTTAACAATACACAGTGCTTTGGTAAACCCCATATATCCAACCACTGCACTGGGGTTAAATCACCATGGAATTATTTCCAACACAACACAGAGCTCGGGCCAACAAAATGGAAACAAATGGCAAGCTGTCACTGTTGATGTGTGTGTTGTACAGGAACAACAGGGATTTATTTGTGAAAGTAACACCAATACTAATGCCCAAGACATTTGTCTTGGCAGTGAACAAAATGCTTGTCATTTTGAAATACTGGTCCTGCTGAAATGCTTCTAACTGTACTTATATACATTGGGAAGAGTAAGAAGTATTTGTGATTCCACAGAGACCACAACACTATAGAAATAAGCCAAATATTTGGGTTTGTAGTTTTCTCCAAAATTGGAGGATGTGACTCCAACTATTCAGTTCTGTCACAACTCATGAATTGCTACAATCTACCTATACATCCCAGCAAGATTTCCTGCTCACCCCCACTGGAATGAACCTTGCACTGGTGGAAAAAATACTGCAGCACAAAGAGCTGTGCTCACTGCTGGAAGGTGGCTGAAGCAATGGACACAGAGCTCTAATCACTATTCATCAAATACAGAATAGATACATCATGTGATGAGAAATGGAGAACATCACTGGTGGGGTGGTGTTTGGGTGGTCAGCCACTGCAAGAGGAATTCCAGATTTAACATTGCATCCTGTTGTAATTTTGCTGATTTCTGTCATTTTATGCTTAATGTCCTGTAGTGTTTTGTATGCTGGAGTGTTTATATTAGCTAGACAGGTAGCACTGTCCCACAGATGTCCTTACACACATAATATTGTTCCCTCACATTCAACATAATATTGTTCCCTCAGTCTTAAAAATCACAGTATTTAGCTAACCTGATCAAAAAATTTCTCACAGTTTTAAAGTTGTACATAATAAATCTCTGTTCATAGGCACAGAGGCAAGAGGTGACAACATGGCCACTCTTGTTTTCAGTCACAGGGTGGATTCTGGTGGTGCCTTCCCCCAGCTCCTGAGCTGCACTATGATCTCAGAAATGTTTGTTAGGCCTTGGCCTTGAGAACAGCACCTGGGCTGAGCAACCCTTAATCTTATCAGAAACACTGTCTGCTCCCAGGAACTTGTGCTGTCTAACAAACTCCTGATTCTTACAAACAGCCTTGGAAAACTATTTTTCTTGCCTGAATAACAACCAGAGCGGAACAACATTTTTGTTACTGAACTTTCAAAGAAGCTGCTGACCTGAATTGTGGCCAGGATGGAAAGGAATTACAACCATTCCTTGAGGCTCAACTCTTTGCCTGTTGAGAAGATGCAAAGACATCTGATGTATTTCCAGGAGCTTGAGGGGAATTCTTCAGAGGTTCCTTGTACAGGCTCCTTCAGGTCTGTGTGTGAGTGGGAATGAACAACAGCAAATCTACTATGGACACTGCTCTCCTAGATTCTTAAGTACTTTAGATTTTAAGTAAATGCTACATGAACTTGTTAAATTGTTTAACTTCAGCATAAGCAATAACTTAACAGCTTATGCTGTTAAACCTTTGGGCCTAAACTGTTGGTCAAATCTGGGGCTCAGTTTTGCAATCAGGTCTACTCTGAATCTTGTTTCCATTTTATCCTTGCCCTTTCCTACCCTTCCCCCCTCCCCAGCCTCAATGTAGATAATTTTTGGATTGATTTTGGCTTTAGATTGACTGGTTTTAGATTTTAGTTTGCTTTTACCATATAATAAGTAGTAGAGTGAACCTTCCCAACAACTCTGTGGAACTTTCACTTCTCTACTAAACCTGCTTTTGCTGATACCTTTGCTGGTGATTCTTTAAGCAACCTCAAAACACCCACTCATGACAATGGCCCAGGGCACACAACCCTCTGCTCAGTGGTGCTGTGATTCTATGGTTCCTACCCAAACACAGCCCAGCAAAAGCAAGCCTGAATGGGGCAGCAACCCTCAACGAGCCCTAGTGTTGCTCCTGGCAGGTCTGCCAAGCACTTTGAAGGGAGAGAACAACAATACTGCTCCCACTTTTAACACTGCCTTCCAGGATCAACCTTGCTCCTGGCAGGTCTGCCAAGCACTTTGAAGGGAGAGAACAACAATACTGCTCCCACTTTTAACACTGCCTTCCAGGATGAAGAACACTGTCCAACATTGGCTCAGAATAAAGGGGGGCCAGACATCTGCAAGGACTCCACAGCTCCAGATCATCTGTTCAATACTTGCAGTCAGGCATTATGTTACCCCTCCAGGCCAAGGAGCCAGGCCGTGGTCACAGTACAGCTGAGTTTTGAGTTTTGTTTGTGGTACTTTGAAAATGGCAGGAAAACCCATCAACAGCTTTGATACCTCATTGAGTTCTGCACATCCCTCATGGAATTTGGCTTGGAGGTTTAATCCATGCTGGATACTGAAGGTGCTCCAAGCACTCCATGCCAAGGTCCATTTGCTTGCCTGGTATTCAAGGCTTGCCCTGCTCAGTCACTGCTGGCCTCTTGGCACACTTTATATGTTAGAGTGGAATAGAAGAGGGTGGAATAAGGATAACCAAAACTAAACAACTGAATAGTTCCTGTGCTGTTGAAGCAACTGCTCCCAGCAGCTTTTATTTGTTCCTCACATCAGCAGACTAGTGGTGTAGGTTTTCCTGGAGTGTGTTTGTCTCATCAAGGGGAAAGATCAGTTTGAGAGTTTATCCTGACATCATCCTGGAGACAAAGCCTTCCACATGCATCTTGTGCTGCTTCCTCAAGTGTCCCCTCCACCCAAAAATTAGTATCACTCAAGAAAGGAGTGATCAGCCAGTCCTACTTCCCCATGGAAGAAGGCTGCAAGCTGCCAAGTGAGCCTTGTTACAGCAACAGCCCCACTGAACAGACACAGCAGCTCTTCATAGGGCACAGGATTCACAGGAAGCACCAAAACTGAAAAATCTTATACTTTTTATTGCAGGTTCAGTGTTAGTGTTTTGGAGAGCACAGCTGCATTAGAAGCAGATATTGTTCCAACTTCCCTTCCCCACAAGACTCTGCCACAAACTCAGCCCCAGGCAACTCCAAAAATCACGTCTAGTTTTGCAGTGCAGACAAGTGTTCCAGAGAGGACCGAGACCCTCACTGAAGATTCGTCACTGAAGAGCAAAAATGATCCAAAGCTCGCAAAATGAAAAGGCCAACACATTAACTAGCATTCCCTGCTCTGCTGGGACACACGTGAGCCTGTTCCCAGCTCCCTGACCCAGGGATGGGAGCAGCCCTGCCAATGGGGTGCCCTAAGCTGTCCTTTCGGGATGTTCCGCTAACTTAGTTTTGATGAAAGTCCCTGCTCTGCTGTGCAGGAGAGGAGAGGCCACTGAGCTGGCACGGAGCTGCTGTTGGCTCAGCTCTGCCAGCAGCACAGCCTGAACATTCCCTTCTGTGCTCTGGGGTGAGACACAGGCAGAAACAACCCCAGAGGCTGCTCTGGCTGCCCACACAGCAATGAGCAGTCCCTGTTCCCTTCTCACAAGCTGACAGCTATGTCTGTTTAGCTTTTCTTTCTGCCCCTACAGGGCAAGAAAAAACACACTAAAAAAAAAAAATCATTAAAGGAACTTAAAAATTCAACACCACCTCATTTCTCCATCTCTCTCAATAATTAAGGTGTAATTCCCCCCACTGCCAGTGGCCCCTTCTATTGACTTGTAAAGTGCTGGTCAGGTTGATTTTTTTCTATTAGATCTCACGGCTCAAGACCCTGAAAACCTCAACACTCCTACAAAAATAAACAGCTGTGTTATGCCTATGTTTTATGGTATTGCCTTTCCATGCAGATTTCCTTCTCTTGTGAATCCAGGAGAGGGGCAGGCTCAGGTCTAGTCATCCACAGTGATGTTGCGGAAGAGGTAAGCCATGGACTCGCCGTTGTGGATTCGCCGGATGGCCTCCGAGAGGATCAAACTGATATCCACAGTCTTTATCTTGGGGCACTGCAGCTTCTGCACCTCGTGAGGAACAGTGTTGGTCACTACCACCTATGGAGGGCCAGAAAGGAAAGGAAGTTGTGCTGCTGGAACGTTCAACCCTCCCTCAGCAGGCAGCCTGAGGGGTGTGTGCTGCTGTTTCACAGCTCAGGGGGAGAACTCCCTGCACATTAGGAAAAAAGACTAAAATAAAAGGTCTCCCCTCTGTGACAGTGTGCTGAGGGGACAGGCATAGCCAGCACTCTCCAGCAGGCTGATGGGCCCACTCAGATCACAGGATCTATTATTGAGTTTGAAATCCTGTCCTCTTCATGTACCAGCAGCCCCTGACCAGCTTGGGGAGAGGGGCTGCACAGTGAGATCCACACAGCCCCAGCTGCAGGGAGGGAAGTGTCCAGGCAGGGATGACTAATATTTTTGTTAGGGAGAAAAGAGAGTATGGAAGCAGATCTGATCTGAGCAAGTATTAATCACAGACACTTTTTTTTTTTTTGTGTTCCAGTGAAGAACCAGCTAACTGAAAGCACCTGATTAAATGAGTAATTCCAGACATAAGCTACGTGCCTTGGGAAGGACATCAATTTGTGATGTTTGGTGCCAGCCCCCACTCTGCATTCTGGAGAGCAGACTCACCTCATCAATGGAGGATTCCTCTATGAGACGGGGGGCATCTGCTGACAGGAGCCCATGAGTAGCCATCACAAAAATCTTGTAGGCTCCACGCTCTTTCAGGATCTCTGCAGCAGCTACAAAGCTTTCCACGTCATCAATGATGTCATCCTGAGCAGAAACAGAAACAACATCAAAACCAGAAGTTTACAGAGCCTGCAGGGCAGGAGTGGATCTGCAGGCTACTGCAGCTTTGGCCATGCACACAGATGAAAAACAGAATCCCTGTCTACTTCAGCTGCTGGTGAGGACAGCCACGTGGACAACTAATCTGTGAATGCTATTTCCCTGGTTTAATGACCCTTTTGCTAGTGTGGAGAACAAATGTTGTGTCTTGGAAACAAATCAGCCCCTGCACATGCACTCAGTTTATCATCAGCAAGTCGTATTTTTCCGTGGGGCAGGAGCTGCATGTTGATTACTTACACTGCAGCATGGCATAGCAAGTAAGAGAGGCTTGGCAAGTTTTCTGTTTGGGGTTTTTTAACACTTCAGGAGTTTTCTCTGTGTGCCCTGGATTTATTCATTACTTGCAGACACACATGACACTTAGAATCAAGGCAGCAAGGACATTTTAGGGATTAAAGAGCTGAAGTGCAAACGGTTTTCAACAGAAAGTTGAAATAATCAAAGCCATCAGCACCACTGGAGAAAAGAGTGTCTAAAAAACACATTCCCACTCCTATATCAGCCATCCCTCTGACCCTCAGGGATGGAACAGCTGAAGCAAAGATGCTGTGAGGAAGCCACCCCCCACCTGTTCCCCTCACACTCATACCACAATGATGGCAATTCTTCCTCCAACGTCTCCAACCACAGTTATTGGCGGTTTCTCCTTGGCCATCATCACTAAAGAAGAAGGGAAAAAAAGAGTCCAGGTGACTCAGGCTTGAGTCAAACTCCAACAGTTCCACCAGACAAGAGGCTGAACCATTCAACATCTTATATTGATGCAGACACAGACGTGCTTTACATGATCCTTACACCCACCTAAGTGAGAAACTCTCATTTAACCATAGTTTTTCTCCTCAAATGAACAGCACTGCTTCATAAAGAGGAAATTCTGTTTCTGTGGGGATTTTGTAGTGACCTCAGAAACAGAAAGAAATTCCAACTCTCTAACAGACCCCTGTGCAAGGAGAGTTACAAAGCAGCACCTGGTTTATGGGCAATATCAGTGACCTTCTCTGTGCTCCAGCACAGCACTTGAAAAAGGGTCCATTCCATGACTGGGAACACCAAATGGGCTTTTCCAAGCAGCACCTCTCAAAGGGCCTCAAAGGGCAGGTGCTTTACAGGGTGCAGCTTTTCACCTCTTGGACTCAGTAAATCATCTGTAGGACCAGAGACTTGCACTGCAGCTCATTTGCTTTCTCACATCACCGAACACAGAGGGGTCTTTGAGAGGGTGTAAGAACCTTAATACCACCTGCTCAGGCAAAGAAAGCTTAAGGAAGTTTGCAGAAGCAAATTTGCTGATTATTTTTAAGTGGATTAATGGAAAGAGTAGGACAAAATCCAGTTGAAACTCAGTTCAACAAGCTCAGTGCAACCAGCAATTGGATCAAAGCATACACTGACAAGCTGTGCTACCTGGCACACAGTGAAGAGATGTACTGGGAAATAAGGTTCCATTCCCTCCTGACACTACTTTTGCACTGACAGGGCTCATGCAAAACCACACCCTGCCAAAATTCCAGCAGCATCATGAAAATACCAGAGACCTGAACTGAGATGCACTGAGAGTGTCCAGATGCAACACAGCCTTCAGACTTGCACCAAACAGCAACCAACCTCCAGTACAGGCCAGGGACTGGCTGTCCATCTGCCAAACCTCCCACTGGCCATGGGGTGCAGGTACAGAAACCTCCAGCATGGAAAGGGCACTGTGGTGGGCAGACCTGTGTCAACAGCTGACAATCTGGGCTGATCTAACCACTGGAACCAAGAGGCACCTCCAGCATTTTGTAACACTTACCTGGCCCACCTCCACACCCCACAGCCCTGTTTTATACCCTCCACAGTGAGTGCAAAGTATCCTACCAAGGCACTTGGTGCCCCTCCTTTTGTAAGCTCAGGTCTTGCCAGGATTCCAGCCACAGAGGCTTCTCAAGTGCCTCAAGGAGTTCAGACAAAGCAAGATTTTTCTCTTTTAGGACAATCTACTTCAATGTAATACCTGAGCAGCAGGAGAACACAAGCCATTGCCCACCAAAAAGCCTGTCTAAGTATCGATCTCTGCTCTCCTCACCAAAAGAGTCTTACATCAAACTCCTCATCCTGCCCATCAGGATGATCCAGTACTGTTCCCATATCTCATCAGTGCCTGGGAATGTTTAGAGTGCAAGCACAGCTGGGTGAATGACTCACAATGAGGGATATGATGAAAGCAATTTTAAGCACCACAACTTCGAAGATTCTTGTGTAGAGCTGTTCTTCACATCCATGACCTACCCCACAGGCTGGTTTTCCACAAACCTACCAAAACTGTATAAAAGGTGTCCAGTAATTCTGTTTTGCCCAAAGTGCTATCACTCATTGCCAGGTTTTGGAGTTAAAGTCACAGCTACCTTGGACTGAAGAGTTAATCAACAGCTCTTCATGGCTCAGATTCCTCAGCCTCCCTTGCATGGTTATTTCTGAGTCTCCTATCAAATGCAAAGTCACGTCTAAATCCTGAAGGAAAAATATTCTTATGAGAAGGAAGATTATTTGTAATAAACGAAGATTAAGCACCACCAGAGATAAGCAGATCATAAATTTCAGTTACAGACACTACTGACCTGCTCAGATTAGTTATGAGTTTACTGTCTAGTCTGGACAGCAATAGAGCTCCTGGTGGGAGCTGTGAAGTATCAAAAGGATCCACCTGGCTGCCATCCCAGCCTCTGTGTGTATCCACTGATGAGTGCCATCTCTGTTTACAACAGCCAGGTCAGGGGAAGCTTTACTATACAAATGGTGAACAGGCCTGGGGAGCTGAAATTCAGCACTATTTTACTCACAGAGATATGGAGTTTCAGCAAATCAGTATCCTTCTACTCCATGAAGGAAGCAGACACATTCCTTGCTATGCTTAAAGGCTAACATGGCAACCAGCAACATTAGCAGTGCTTTGCATCTCTGTCTGTTTTTTAAAAGCTGTATTTCAATTTTGGTTTATTTTTAAAGAATGGTAGGCAACGTGTCGACCTACCCGGATCTTAAAGAGATGTTCTCCCTTTTCCTTGTTCAATTTTCTCTGCAAAAAAAAGAAAAAAAAATTGCAAGCTAAAGATCTACCCACAACCACATCAAATCTCAACTGCTCCAAGGTGATGAGAAGGGGTTAGTGCAGCCAGCTTCTTCTTCAAAATCTTTGAACATATCAAGATGTGCAAGTCAGAACTGCTACGAGGAGGTAGCCTTGAAAAATGATTCAAATAATAAAAGAATATTTTCCTCCCAGACACAAACCCTCTATGTTTGCAGGCAGAAGAGGGTAACAGAAATAAGCCACGGTGGTACTTTTGCACAGTGTAACCCCTTGGATCATGTACAAGTTTGGTTTAAAGAGTTGCTGACTTTTTCTGCAGAGTAAGAAAAGATGCTTGTGGTATCTGTAGCTTCTGAAGGGGAAAAATAAAAGAGAAAAAACTAGACCAACCACCATTTCTTTATAAAACAAGAATATCAAAGAACACTTTCATTCAGATGTGCATAATATACACCAAAGTACCACATGTTAAAGGCAGGATCACTGGCACTAAGAAAGAACATTCCCAGGTGTGTAAACATGTTGCTTTAATTAAGTGGTCAAAAACAGGTTAAGAAATACTAAAATAAATTCTTTTTGGGGCTGACAGTGCAAATTAAAGTGACAATCACCAAGAAATGTAATGCTGCATTTACAACAGAGCCTGGGAGCAAAAGGCTGCTCAAGAATGAACTGTTTTGTGTAGAGATAACCTTGGAAGGACAGAAAACACCCCTGTGCCCAGCCTAAACACAGGCAAGATGGGGGTAGGGAAGTAGGAACAGACCCATGGTCACTCCAGTTTCCCCCCCAAGCTCCCTTTGTGGCAGTTTGCTGGGCTCTGGGATTCGAGCAGGCCATTAGCTCTCTGTACAAAGTACTGAATTCCAAAGCCACTGAAATGATTTAACAGATGGTGCTCCACTCTTTTTCTCCAGGAAACGGGCAAAGAGTCCCCATGCATTTGTTAAGGCACAGCCCCGAGCCAGCTGCGAGCTCTGAGACACAAAGGCACACAATCAAAGGGAATAACCTTGGAGTGACATCCTGTCTCCAAGGCTCTGATTTCAGGGGCTGCAGTGCTGGGGGCTCTTGCTGCCACTCCAGTGAAGCATTTTAAGTGCAATTAGAAGCACCTCTGGCATTTTTCTGTTGTGGCTCCCTACGAAATCAGAATATCACATCAGGCCACACTCACAGGACAATAAATAAGCCATTACACTGCCTAGCACTCATTAATTGGAGGCACATGATCCCTGCTGGAACAGGGGGAGAAGGTGCATGCCAGGACACAGGAGCCTGGCCAGTTCACCAGGAAGCCCATGGAGAATGGCACAGAGCACAAGCCACGCTCTGGGGCTGCTCCCCAGCACAGGTTTCACCTCTCTCCTGGCTCTAAAACAACTGTCTGGAGCTTCAGTTGCCAAGTCTGGGATGCTCCACGTTGATCTGGCTGTAGCCCAGAGTGGGATGCTCCACAAGAAGTCTCAGCCACTCCCCAGGAACATCCCCAAGCTCCTACCTGCCAGGCCCAGGTTTGGTTGCTGAGCCAGGTAGACTCACAGACCGCTTTTGTTTTGACAGCTGGAGGGTTTGGGGACAGTTTTGGTGTTAGGGATATCCAGTTCTGAGCAGCAGCACGTGTCTGACCTTTCACAACACAGCTGAACACTGCTACACTCTGCCCTCAGAGATTTCACCATCAGGAAGGAAGAGCTGAATGAGGGTTTGGAATTATGTGACTTTTGAGGTGGGAAGATGCTTTTCAAATTACTGAATTGGACAAGAAATGAGGCACAGCAGAGAGGGTCAGCACAGACACACAGCACTGCCATCCCAGCTGCACTTTCACCTCTGTCTGGCAGAGACTGTGACACAACCAGAATTTACAGACTGCTTTTAAATAGGGATAACCTCAATTCTGCACCTCCAGAACCCAGCTCACTCAAAATCAGGTATCTCTCAGGTTAGAAAACTGCAGAGAAAAGCAACTTCTACTGAGAGTTTGGGACAAATCTGCCCCACAATCCAGCCCATGACAGAGAGCTGCCAAGCCACAGCTTTTTACACTGTGACTTAGGCATGCTGGGATGTAAGGTCATTGGTCAAGTGCTGAGTCTGTGCAGCAGGAGATAAAATAAGAACATGGTGATACACAGCAAATTAGTTTGTGTATGGATAGCTGAGGACTGAAAACAATTTTCCATTGGATTCACAACTAAACTGGACAAGGGCACATTTCTGTATGAACAACCATTTACAGGGTTCTCCAGCAGCACAACCTTCCACAGCTGAGCTTCTTTGAAGTGACATGGCTGGAAATAAAAACACAGTCACATCAATTCCTCCGCAGCAGACAAATGTCAGCTACTGACACTCTGGAGGACAAAATTCTCCAGAATAGGAGGGGAGGGAGAAAGTGAAGAATAACCATGCAAATTCCTGCTTTCTTGGACAGGCATGGAAAAAAATCCCTTGTCAGAAGGAGAACAATAAAGTCCCAAATTTCATTGCCAAACCCCACCTGGCCCCAAGGCCCCAGAGGAGTTTCACCAGCAACAAAAGCACTGTTTAACTGATTGTATTCCAGTGAGACACAACTGGGGTGATGTAAAATGCCTGCAGTCTTATTTGCCTCCCCTCCACAAGCTGCCCACAAACTGGTTGGATGTTCTCCCTAAATTTCCAAAGATTAGATGACTATCAGTAGCCCAAACCACTGCTGGTGTTGCCACACACAGCAGCACACAGCCTTTCCCACGGGCACTTCTCAGCCACCTTCCTGCTCCCAATTTCTGTCCTGCCACCACCTGCCTAGAAAGCTAAAATCTTCCCAAATGGGAGCTGGATTTTGACTGTACTCTTGGTATTTGACTGCTGCAGGAATACAAGCAACCCTGAGGATGGCATTTCCCAGAACACAAGTTTCCTCTTTTTCTTCTGCTCTCTGCTCCCAAATCAATGGCAAGAGCTCCAGAAGCAGGTCAACAATGCTCTTGGAGAACATATTCACCCCAACCACACAAACCTCAAAACCTTGTCAAAACAGACATTGGAATATGATCATCTGGGTGCCAAGGTGAAGATTTCCAGTAGTAACAATGGCTACAGAGAGGGGAAGACAAAGACCAGCCCTGCCCCACCCAATGGAGCCAACAGCCTGTCTCAGTGGTTGTTATCTCATTACTTACACTTTTACATCTCCCTTGTTTCATCAGCTCAAGGAAATCTGTTGCTGAACACTAAAAGCACCACCTTTACCAGAGGTTTGTCAGTCTAACACTGTGGAGCAGACACAGCCAAGTGGAAAATACTCTGCATGGCCAGAAGGAGTTAAACAAAAACCTTCCCCTGTGACTTCTCCCACAACTCACTGATATCAACCTTTCTATGAAAAAAATTCCACGGGTCTAACTGCCTTTAGCTTGGTTACATCCACACAGATAAACCAACAGAAATTTCCCACCAAACTTTTTTTTCCTCCCCCAAAGGTAAGCAGAGAAGCTTGATCTTACATGGCAGCTCCAGGCCAGGATGCACAGTTGCATTTTTGAGCATGGGAGGGGAGTGACGCCCGTCATCCATGTCCTGCTCCGTGCACTGAGCCTCCCCATGGATCACAGCCAGCCCCAGCCGCAGCCTCTCGGCGTAAGACTGAGCCCTGCAAGACAAAAACAGCCCCTCAGGAAGGTGCTGGGCTGATGCTGCTTCACAGCCCACTGCAGCAAGTCTCTCCCACACCAACAGCAAGCAAAGGCTGCACCTCTGTGGCTGTTTCTTGCAAGAAACCTCACTGGATGTGACTCTTCATTCCTCATTATTATCCCAAAGCCCACTCTACCCCTTGGCTCCACCACAGGCTCTCCTGTGCTCCTCCACATTGGAAATGCTTTCTGAGATGGTCAGACACTGCTGAAAGTGCAGCAGCAAGGTGAACCCCAGGTGAACCACTTCAGTGAGACTGCCAGAGTTTATGCCCATAGGGGTGGGAACACAAAGTTCAGCTGTCTATCTGCACCACATCCATCCCACTTCCAGCCACAAAAGGATTATGACCAGATTGTCAATCCATCTGCCACCCTCCCATACTTTCCCTGGTATATTTTCCACCAGCTCAGGTATTTTCCAAGTAACTTTTAACCAGCTAGCAAAGCATTTATTTACCTTTTAGCAGCACCAGGAGATTTGGCTACAATAACTGCGTTTCTGTAATCTGGAATCTGGATGTGACAAAAAGTTAATTAATAAAAAAGACCTTTTTGCTAGGGAGTAACTGACACATGGCTGAATAACTTCACCCAACCTCCTCCCCATAACCAAATTTTAATTCTGTGACAAGAAACTAGAGAGCAACTGCACTTGCTTCCAACACCAGTATTTGTGTATTCTGCAAAGGTGGGAATGTTCACTATGTTTAACCCTCCCCATATGGGGAAGCCTTGCTCTCACCATGTGGGAATAAATCACCATCTTTTGCACATGGAGAATAAAACCTCCGTGCCCTGCTCCCAGCCCTGCTGTGCTCAGCACTCCTACACTCAGCCCAAGACAAAGTCTATCAATAATTCAGAGCAGACAGAAATCCAGCACAGCACAAAGGGAGAAGCGGAGCAGTTTAACAGGATTTCAGAGGTGATTAGAGGCAGAGGCACAAGTATCATCTCTCAAATGGCACTAACTCCACAGAGAGCAAGCTCCTCTCCTGCTTGTGCTGCAGTTCAGTTTCTATCCAATCAGAGAAGTGTAACATCTTTCCATGAAACATGCAATAGGTACCCCCCTGAGAAAGAATTCATTAACAGAAGGATTGACCTAGACTGACACCACCACCTCTACTTAAGCAGAGCCTCAATGCTGCCATCACATTAAAATGAGTTCAGACAAGTTGATATACACAGAACTAGAGTAACCTCACTTCTTCCTGTATATACTGAAGCAAGAAAGGGGATGCTCTCAGGTTGTCTACTGGAAAACTGAAGAAGCCTTGGATTTCCTTTTGATGAAGGTCCATAGTGATAATGTGTGTTAAACCTAAGGGGCAAAAAAGACAACAATTTATTGAAAATATTCCCACGTGGCTGGAGTTCCTTCAACACCTCCATTTTCCAGACTGTTTTAGCTATTACTCAGACTATTATGCCATGTCATAAAAGAATCATAAACAGATTAACACAGAAAGTTCCACAGATGTAACGAGAAACAGGCATGTGATAAGCCACAGCACTGGGCTGACACTGTATTTCACTGTAACATTTCTAGGCCACTTTCCCAGGTGCAAGTTACAAAGAAACACAAGAAAGCTGAAGAAAATCAATTCCCCCTGTGTGGCTCAAGATCTCAGCAACACGTCCCCACACCAACCAGGAGAATGGAAGGACAGATGACCTCTGGGATGCCCAGCAGCACCAAGCCTGCTGCGCTGCTGCTCCCTGGGACACTCACCTGCCTTGGCAAGCATTGAAGCCAGCAGCTTGCAGACTATGGAGCCCCTCTTCCTCATTTTGCTCTGTTTGCTGTAGGGGAAGTAGGGGATGACCCCAATGATGTTCCTGGCACAGGAAGTCTTCAGTGCATAGGCCATGATCAGCAGCTCCATGACAGCAGTATTCACATCTCTAGGAGATTTGAACGCAATTCCAAATATTAGCAGGTGTTTTTCCAATGCAACTCCTTTTCCATTTATACCCAGATCATCCCACACCAAAATTCCAAGGAAATAATGCTACATCTCAGGTTAATGTATGCCAGACCCAGATGGCAGCCACACAGCTCCTTCCACAACAAATTACAATCAACTCTTACACATACAGGACATGACACCAGCACCAAAGAGCTGTGGACTGCAATTTGATTTTATATACTAACATAAGGTGTATGATGATTTCCCTCCATAATCCAAAAGAAAAGGCTTTTTATAGAATTTTTTGGGAACAAATGTCACTTGATACAGTGTAATTTGAAACAAAATAGTCTTTTAAAGAAGCAGCACACATGCAGCTAACATAACTTTATCTACACTGGATTTCTTAGGGTATTTTCCTCTTTAACAGTGTAAGGCAGATTATTTTTCCTGCCTTAAGAACTACTGCTATTGGAGCAGTACAAGCTCCAGATATAGCACTTTAGTGGACATCAGCATCTCCACACTCTTGTCTAGAGATGGAAGGAACAACAGGACAGGAAATGCTAAAGGACTGTTTCTTGAAAGAAAAAACAACCAAACAAAAAAGTAAGCTAGGCAGAGAAATCATAGAATATACTGAGTTTGAAGGGCCCCATCAGGATCTGGAGTGCAATTCCTAGTGCTGCACAGGACACCCCAACAATCCCACCCTGTGCCTGAGAGTGTTGCCCAAATGTTTCTTGAGCTCAGACAGGTTTGGTGCTGTGACCACTTCCCTGGGGAGCCTGTTCCAGTGCTCAACAGCTCTCTGGCTGAAAAACCCTTTCCTGACATCAATCTAAACCTCCCCTGACTCACCTTCATGCTGTTTCCTTGAGTCCTGTCACTGGTCATGAGACTGAAATATCCCCCACAATATTTGCTCCCCCACAATGACTGGAGTGGCCTGGTAGGAGTGTATTAATCTGCATTTTAATTAATTTTGGGATGGAGAAAGGAGCTAAGCCCTTAGTTCCCCTTTATTTCTTAAGGCCAACACCAAGAGACACTGTCTGTATCACCACAGGCTGACTCAAGAACTTTTGGGAACTGAAGAGCACGTGCTTCAGATGGCAGGACAGGCACTCCTGCAACACAGACCCCCTTGCCTGGGGGTTCCAGCAGGGACAGCCCCCAGTGACACACACGTCCCCAGCCCAGTCAGGAGGGCACTGCTGGAGTGGCTCAGCTGTGCAGCCCACGGTGACAGGGCAGGGGCTGACTGGGCCATCTTTCCACACAGCAGCAGAGCAGCAAAGAGAGCAGCCTAAAGCTCTGCAGAGCTTTCTGGACATTACCCAGACACTGCTCAGCCCTGTTTTCCTCCTGAGACAGCTTCTCCAAATGCCCAGAGACATGACCCATGACAAACCTCTGACCATTTCCATTTCCCCATGCTCTCCCCTCCTTTGGAAATTAACCTCCACTTGTGCCTCCTCTTTTGTGAGGCTCTGGGTCTCTTTTGTCCCGCTGGCCCCGGCAGCCTGTGCACACAATGCCATTTACACACAAGAAAGCTTTGTTGGCTCTGGAGCACTCAGCCAAGAATTACATAAAACACAGCCCCCTGCCACACAGGACAACAAAGAACTGTTTCTTCCCTTTGGTGATTTAGCTGTGCCAGTGGGGCTGTGAGAGAAGAAAAAGATGCTACTATCAGTGTCATATAAAAACAAAGTGGTCAAACCGAAGCCTATTTAAAGTTCATCTGAGAAACTTCGTATTTTTCATCATTATTTTTCAACTTACTCTTTGAAAATCCATACATATTCATATGGAAAGCAGGTAGAGAACAAGAGTGGGACTTCAAAAGGCACCAGCAGTCCTGGTGCTGCTGCAGGACACCAGCAGCCACAATGATGGAGAAGTTATTCAAGGAGGGTACTTCTCCCAGTATTCAAGCAGGATGCCAAGCTGGACTCTGGGAAGCTCCTGCAGACCAGCTGGCACAGGCACTAGGCAGAGGTGGACATGTCTGTCCCTCCAGCAGGGCCCAGGGTGGGTGGGCTGAGATGGCTTCATGCTGAGCCATCACTGACCTGCTCCTCTGCAAGGGGCACTGACCCCAACCAAGGGCACCAGCTGGGGAAAATGACATTGGTGGAGGAAGCCCAGCCCCAGCATCTCCAAAACAGGTACCCAAGAGAGCAGCCCAGGCTCCTTGCTGCCCTCCCCATCTCCAGACCTGAAGCCATGCTCAGCTACTTACTGCTGGGAGGGCTGAGCCAAGACCTCACACAGGGCTGGCAGCTCATAGCAGGACACTCAGATTCAGCTCAGCTATCCCACACCCTGCTTACCACACCAGAGCCTTCCTTGCTGCTCCTTATCTCTGCCTGGGCCACCCCTGGACACTCCTGCTCTGGGGGGCTAAGCAAACACTTTATGTGACACTCTCCATGGACTTTGCAACAATCAGCAACAACACTGGGCATTAAAAGGCTCCTTTGCCTTTAGGGTATCACAAAATCACCATCTCCTTCATTTTTCTATTCCCTAAACTTGAGCTATTTGATTTTTCCCTCACAAAAATGCCAGTCCACACACTATTCTTGGATGGTAGCTGTCCTTGTCACTTATTTTTGGTTGTGGTACAGCTTTTATGACAGAGAGCCTGTATCAAATATTCAGGTCTTTCTGTGATCTCTGTGCATTTAAGATGCAGACTGTGAATTCACATTGCAGCATAACAAGGTTGTTTCCCTCTCTGCTAACAAGTCCTAATATTTTCTTTTCAAACCACTACTGAGTGTAGAAGTCCTATTCTTAGATTATGCCACACAGTTATTGTTTTGACTCTCATGAAAAGCTCCCTGAAACCCACTGCAAAATTGAGATGTCCTTGAACCTGTCCTCTCTAGCAATGCAGCAAGGCACAGCTGCAGTTTAGGAATGAAAGATGACTTGGCTGCACAACACTGGCTCCTCACCTGGAGGGCCTTGAACATTCTGTCTAAAAAAGATCCATTTCTTGGCCCAAATCAATGAATTCAGTTAATGGAAAAACAAGGGGATCAACAAGTTAAAACCAAAGGGGAGGTTTTCCCTTCCCAAAACTGTTCCTGTCCCTAATGCTCTGAGTTAGCTCTCTGAACACTTGATCTGTTTACATGTTTACACAGCTCCCAGTTACAAGTTATTCCAGAGAACTCCTTCACAAGGGGCAACACAGTGGCACCATTCACCCGAAACATAATCCTGCAGCAGGGGGTTTTCATCTTGAAGAGATTTAGTTGCTCCCTGAGGGAGGAAACACTTGGGGCATCTCTCTGGAGAGAGATGAGCCCTAGGAACATGTTTCTGCCTGCAAGAGGAATTCCAGAAGTGAGTAAACTGGTCTAGTAGTCCTACTGATTTCTCTGCAACAGGCCAAGCATTTCACAGAGGAAGTGAACTTGAATTCTCAGTGGGCTCCATTTCTTTGGCAAGCAAGGAAAAAGTCTGTATCCAGGCAATTCTGCTCCCTGCTACTTCTGAGCTAAAATTGAGCTCTGCTAACTTATTACTTCTTGTGATCTCCAAAATCTAAGCAGAACTTGGCAACTTGGAAAAAGCTATCAGAGCAGGAATGTCCTTGTTTTGTTAATATCAATGACTCATCTCTGAAAACAGCACCTCCATTATTCACAGTAAGTCAATTTGAAGTCATCATTTATTTGTAGACTCCCTTCACCCTACTGCTATCCCATTACTCTTCCTGAGCCAGCAGGCACCAAGGCTCCTGGGGTTACACATGGTTTTCTAGCCCCCTGCTTACCTGCAGCACTTCTCTTACTCCAAGCCTAGAGCAGCCCAAAATAAAACCCAAAAAGGCTCACCATCATCACAAACTGTCAAAGCACACGAGGGAGGCTATGGGTTTCCACCTGAGGTAAGTTTCACATCACTACAGTAGAAGGGGAAGAATAATCCAGCCTGCAATGAAAGCAGCAGCTGCTGTTTGGTGGTGGCTCTGTTGCTTGGTGGTTGGGAGGCAGAGGAAATCACCCATCCTGGGATGGAAATGCCAGTCAGAAATCACCCATCCTGGGATGGAAATGCCAGTCAGAAATCACCCATCCTGGGATGGAAATGCCAGTCAGAAATCACCCAACAGCTGAGCCTGAAAGGCCACCAACACACAGAGCAGGGATGCCTCAGTGGAAACCATCTGAAACTCCTGTTCCTGCCTCAAGTGACACACTCCAGCTATTTGATGGGAAGCATCTCAGTGCTGCAATCAATCCCCTGGGAATGTTAACAGCTTAGCACTATGTGAGGCCTTCATCTAAGTCAGAGCAATGACCACACTGCATGAGTTCCACTGCTTGCTGTGCTGGTTTACAGTGAGCAAACCATTGAACCATCTGCTGATCCAGGTATTCAAAGCACATCCCAGGTGCAAAACTGAGCCACAAGTGCCTCACCTGGGGATTGTCTGTATGATGAAGATATCCTGCCCACGGACAGACTCTTTTATTTCAACTCTTGTTTCTGAAAAGGATGGAAAACAGAGTCAGTTTTGTTTCCAAACATCAGGTTGACAGTGACAACACACCACGTTGTAGCAGCAACCTTGCCCCCTGGTCAGGGCAGATGAGGACTCGCTCCTCTGCCCTTTGTACAGAGGAGCCAAGTGGATTTTCCAAAGGTTGGAGCAGGGTACAGCTGGCATAAGCTACCAGTGAATTAACTGTATTTACAAAGCAAAAGCAGGCTGAATAGCTGTTTACTTTTTACAGAATTTAGAATTTTAGAATTTAGAAATTAGAATTTTAAAATGTAGAAGACAATTCACCTAACTCTCAATGAGAAATCCTTTTCACGCTTCCAAGGAGTGCTGAGAGCTGTCAACAGCACATTCATTAGTGAGCAATTAACCACCCAAGGCAGAACAACCTTCAGTGCTTCCAAGAAGGTAACTCAGCACTTTTTGCACTTTGCTCTTTCAGCTTACCGTGAGATCAGCTCCATGCTGGCTGGAGAGCTCAAGGCAACACCAGCAGCACCGAGTTCAGAGCAAGAACTTGTCAGTCTCACTGTCAAGGTCAAGACATTCCAACACTGACACAGGCTGGAAGTCTGGGTCTCTGCTGAGCACCACTCCTGCAGTCCCTGACTCAAATGCAGCAGCTGAGCCTGGAGCAGCTCTGCAAAGCCAGAGCAATGACTCCAGGTTTCCCAAGGTGCCTGCCTCAGCCACTCATTTCCCACACAGTCATGAGCTAGAGGGCAGGGGTAAGGAAAAGGAGAGAAACAGCTCCTCAGCTATGGAATTCCAAGTCCAATTGCCTTGGCCTGGCAGTAACCCTAGAGGACTCTGCTGAGAGCAGACTGATTTGCTGTGCAGTGATGAAAAACGACTTCAGACCTGAGAGCAAGCAACCTGATTTAAAACCAAGCCCAAAGGGCAGCGAGCTCTCCCGGGCAGGAATGCACCAGCCAGCCCAACCATAACCACAGCAGCTCTCCCACTGCGAGGCCCATTCAGCTGCAACAGCAGCAGCACCACAAATCCTCCACCCCTTCCTCTAGCCTGTAGCAGCTCTCTGGTTCTACTCTCTCTTGCAAACAAGGTATCAGAGGTCTTGAAACAGTAAATCACTCTTGGCCACAGAACTCTGCTGGCCAATATCCTTGTGTTTTAGCCCAGCCTCTGAAAATGGACGCTTGCAGAGTGTTAGCCTCCTTAAAAACAAAAGCAACCTCCAAGAGGCATTTTCCCCAGCACAGCCATGAATTTGCACTTTTAAAAGCAAGGGCAGCTGTAAATTCCGTGTGGCAAAGAAGGGCTGAAAGAAAGGGATAATTCAAAAGCTCAGAAGGCTGACACTGAAAAATCAAGGCACTACTTTTAAATCTGGAGATGTTTTGCTCAGTATAGAAGCATAGAAGATTTGGCAGCAGCTAAAACCTGAAGCAGAACTCTAGAGGAGAGTTTGCAGATGGGCAGACAAACAAGATAACCAGGGAAAACAAGAAACATGTTTAATTGCCTTGTCCAAGGTCAGCCATGGAGGTTTAGCAGTGCCAGGAGCAGCAGCAACATCACAGCTGAATCACTGCACTTCTTAGACAGCTCTGCCCAATGGAGTTACCCAGCATTTCTAAGATTACCTCAAAAGAGTTGCAAATAGCAGAGATTTCTCTTACCTCCATTGGTTTCCTGGTACACCACAGATTTCCCCAGCTCAGCACCGAGACGCCTGGAAAGAAAGAAAGGTCATTAGAAATGGAGGAACCCAGCAGCTGGTGCTGCCAAGCAGGACTGGACCACGTTACACACCCCCAAAACACAGCACTGCCCAAGAGGGAGCTGAGAGAGCCAGCCAGGCTGCAGAACTACATCCTGCCCTTCCCTGGGGGTCTCCTTCCTTCTGATGTCCCTGAGAGGGCCCTGGGACACACAGCTCTGCAGCAGGTCACTGCTGCACCCAAAGCTGTGTGACTGACCACAGGCTGTGACTCCTGATGGCAAAGGACACCTTGCCAGCCTGTGCAATGCCCCCTTGGGCAGGTCTGATGTGCAACTAGAGTTGAATGATTTACTCAGACTCAATTAATGGCACCTGAGTCACTTTTTTTGACTCCCACCTCTTTTCCTTTTTTTTTTTTTCCTCCTTGTACCTTCCTTCTGAAATAACTCAAATGATTAATGAGATTTTAACTTCAATTTTTTTATTTTATCAAATAACTCCTTACTTATCTCAAATATCAAATCTGCAACAAAGATTAGTCACCCTCCTTCTCTTTTTAATTTTTTTCTTACAAAACAAAGACTCACTTTGAAGAGCATTTTAAAAGGCTCCAAAATGCAGACTTTTCCCTCAGGTGACACTTCAGTATTTAACTGTACTGACAAGCAATCCATTAGTAAGTACTTAAAGGCTTTTGTGCTTTAACCCAGAGCCTCAGAGACCCTGCAGCAGTGGAGATGCTTCAGCCAAATGAGATGGAGTGGGGCAATTCCCTCCTTTCCCAGGATCTGCTCTATGGCCTTGGCCACACAATGAATTAGGAAACAGTTTATGCCTGAAAAATACCTTTGTTCACCACGCTGACTGTGGCAGCAGTTTCCTGCCTGCACTTGTACTGTATTTACCTGGATATGTGCCAAAATTCTGCAGATCAGGACTAACTCTAAATAGAAGAGTCCATATCTTCTGCTGTTTTTTTTTTTCTGGTCTACAGCCTTCAGCAGTTGGTCTCACTCCATCTCCTTACCCACTAACTCGGCCCTGCACTTCAATTGTCACAAAGATCTGTGCTTTCAGCAGTGAAAGAGCAACACAATGCTACCCTGGCAGGCTTCTGTCCCATCAGCAACTGCCGGGCTCAGCTGTGAGCCAAAGCTGGAGGTCCCAGCTAGAAGCTGGCCTGGAGAGTGTGCCTGGGACAGCTGAGATAACAGACACTCGGATGCCATGGGATGTGTTTGCTTAGCTGGCTCCAAAGCACGTCTCTGGCACACACACCCTCCCCACCAAGTGTCTGGCAGCACGTTTTGCAAAGGCTGGGCTGGTGACTGAACTGCCACCTCGAGAACTGGACATGCCAGGCTGTCACCAGCCCTGCCTGGGGACCACCTGCAGCATCCCCCTGCAGCCCAGGCCAGACTCACAGATCTCTGGCTGGGCTCCTCTCAGCTCAGCTGGGTTAAAACTTGCAGCTGCAATGCAAAGGCATCCTCAGTACCTTCAGTATCTTCAAAAAGAGCTGGCAGCTGGTCAACTATAAGCAAGCCTGGGCACCTCAGGGATAGACTGACACCAGAGGTGAGTTTTGCAGGTGGGATCCTGCTGTCCTGATGAGGATAATCTGGCATTTGCAACCACCAAGCTTAGTCCTAATCACTGCTAAGGCATCTGAGTCCAAACAAGCTCAGAAACATACACACACACCCCCCAGAGCAGTGTGTGGTGGGAAATGTTTAATGACTCACACTTGTTCCTCCACAACTGCATGGCAAGTCTTGCAAGCTCCCCTTGGAGGCACGTGTGCAGACAGCTTCAATCTTTGGACTTCGCTGCAGACAGCACAATCCTGCCTCAGTACTGGGGAAAAGAAATCCACTGGAGAGACTGTGCAAGTGCTCTTAGTCAGCCCTGAATCTCATGGCAGGAAGGAAAGCTTCAAAATCAGTCCAGCCAGACTCATCTAAGCAAAACACCCCTTGGAAGGCGGCACTTTCAGTGCTAAGTGGTGGCAAACAAAACTGTATTTGTGGTGCTCAAGAGGAAATGTTCTCACGTTGTACTAGGGGAGGTTTAGATTGGATATTAGGAAACACTGCTTCCATGAAAGGGTTGTCAAGCCTTGGAACACACTGCCCAGGAAAGTGGTGGAGTCACCATCCTTGGAGGGATTTAAAAGACATGTAGATGTGGTACTTGTGGATGTGGTTTACTGTTGGCTTCGGCAGAGCTGGGTTAACAGCTGTGCTCAGCTTTAAAAGGGATTTTCCAACTTCATGATCCCATGATACAGCCAGCAGAAATCAGAGCCCAGTGCTCTCCTACTCACCACAGAGCAGCAATGCAGTTTGTGTGCTGCTGAAACAAGAAACCAGAAGCACAAGTTTGCTCCCATGGCAAGAGGAACTAAAACAGCTTGGCTTGGGGCACTAAAACAGCTCAGTTGTCAAACCTAGGTGCAGGGAGCAGCAGAAGGAACAAGACACAGATGCCCAACTTAGAGGAATGAGCAGCTCTAGTCAGACAATAAATCCCAGCTCTGCTCCAACTGTTGACTGCAAGTAAACAAGAGCAGCGGATATGAGATAAAACTGCCCCTGAAAGTCCCAGATCAGCCCTGCCTGCAGCACTCCAGAGGAGCCACAGACACAGCAGGATCCAGAGGCAGCTCCCCCAGAGCACCAAATCCCCTCCTCGAGGCTTCAGTTAGACAAGGTATCAGCCAGGGAAGGAGTCTGATAAACCCTGACTGAGTCAAGAACAATAAAGAGGGGACTGTTGGTGCAACTCCTACTGTGAAGCACCAGATTCCAGAGGACTTTTATCAAAAGGGATATTTGCATGGAAGTCAAGGGCAGGGCACAACCTTATCAACCACACAGCCTGGCAGCAGCCAGAGTTCAAAGATAAATTTCCCCTTCCTCTTACCTCTCCCTTGTTTTCTCTTCCATCCCAAATCTTTTCTCCCAAAATTCTCTCCATCCTGAAGCTCCCAAATGGTTGCTGCTTGAGAGGATAGAGGAATTGAATTGACAGCAAGAACTGTTTTCATCCAGCTCCAGGACTAACAGCATAATCACATGAACCTGGGCTACCACAGTTACTGATCACTCATCTGCAGACACAGACAGACCTGTCCTAGGACAGAGAAAGTGCCACTGCAGGTAACCCAGACCACACAATCAGCAGAGATAAAGCTGCTTCTGGGAAAAATAACATTTTAGGTCCTGCAGATAAATCACATCTCCAAGCAAAATGAGCTGCTATCCTCACACTAGCTCCATCACTAAACCATCTCCTCTGGGGCATGACAGCATCTAAGAGAAAAAAACCCAATCTTTATGGCTTTAAAAAACCTACTCAGAGCAACTGGCCAGTAAAAATTCCTATTGATCTGGAATCTCTCTGTAAACACTGCCCAGGAAGGATGATCTAACTTTCCGCAGTCTCAAAACATGCCAAGAGGATATTAAGCAGTGAATACAAAAGTGTTTATAAAACCTGTCTCAAATTCACATCTAAATGCAAACAGCTCAAGAGTCACCTACAGTTTAATGAGGAAGTGACACACTGCAGCATTTAGGAAACACTGTGAGGCTGTATCAGATTGTACTTTAAAATGCTCCACTGAAGACTGTCAAAAACCACTGCACCAGGCTCTTGAGACAAAGGGCAGCCCAAGAGACTCCATGTTCAGCTGAATCCAATTTCAAGGGGCAGATGTACTCACAGTATTTTGTGCCATCAGAGCCTGTTTCAGTGCCACTGAGAAGTGCCCTCAGCAAGGCAGTGTTTCCTTCTCCCCCTCTGTGACCAGAATCCAAGACATTTGTCAGGTTATCTCCAAAGGGAGCTTCCGGCCAGCTCACAGCACAAACATTCCATTTGAAGAGAAATCTGCACACAAAGCTCTTAATTATTATATTTTATTTTGGCAATATCCTCTTCATTACAAACACTTTCCCTGGTCTCAGCTCTGCAAACTCCCAACTCTTCCCACATCTACAGACTCCAGGAACTGGTGCAGACTCAGAAGGAGCTGGAGCAGAGCACAGAAGGTCTGTGCTGTGCCTGACTGTGGTCAAATCAAGCCACAGCCTGACTCTGAACTGCTTTTCAAACTTTAACAAATCTTCAAATAAAGATCAGTCATGGTCCAGCCAGCACAATGGCAGCTCTGCTGTGCACTTCCTAATCCCTCAGCATAAGAACAGCCAGGAAAAGAAAGGGAATGGCAGCTTCCTGGATACAATCTGTTTAGATATCCTTAAAACTATCTGAGCTCTCCTTTGCCTCTCTCCATCCATCCAGCATGACTGGTTCTTTGAAGAAAAGTCCCTACTGCTCATCTGCCACTAGAATCACTTGTTCCAGCGACGCCAAAGCCATGCAGCCCAACCACCAGGCAGATTTTTCTCTACTGTTACCAGCCCACTCCTGGTGAAGGAACTTCCCCTAAAGCTGTGCTGGCCAGGACAGAAAGCTCCACATGAGCCCAACTGCTCATCCACATTCTGTGCTCCACCTAAACTGCACAGAGATACTCTGACTGCCCTCTGCCACCTTCTCATGTGCTGGCAAGATGATCTAAAGAATCCATTTCCTACCAGAAATCCTCCTTCAGCTGAGGGAGGCTGCTGCAAGCCCTCTGAGTGTACTGTCTCCCCCCTAAGCAGGGCTCACCTCCCACCCAGTCACAGAAAACACCACCGTGGGATTAGCGTTGTGACCCAGCTCCCTGCAGCCAGAGGTCAAAACACAAATCCCCATGTTTTCCTAATTCCATGTTGTTTGGGCTCACGGCAATGCTTTATCTTCAGATCACCAGCAATTTCCATGCTGCAAACTGAGCAAATCTCTGGAATACTCACATCCAGGGCTGGCAGTGAGACAGTACCACATGCCACATCACAGAGTTGCAGGAGCACTGGGGAGGCATTAGCAAGATTCAATCACCACTCCCCTCCAAGCCAAACACATAAGCAGTGAGAAGAATCTAATCTTTGTACCTGCTGAGCCAAGCACTGCAGTCAGAGAGAGATCTAAATGCATCTGTTGGATTAAAGATCAAAAAGACTTCTAGATCTCCCTCCCCACAGCAGCACACAGGTCCATTAAGGAGCAGAATTAGGAGCCATTAGGTCACAGAAATTATCTTTCTCCCCTGAAAATACAGCTTGCCATCAGGCCCCAAGTCTGACAGTTACAAGTCTGTCAATCACAGCAAGAGTTTTCTTTCCGTCATGGAAAGAATTTAAAATAAAATAATCATCACTTCAATTTATAAGGGAAAAGTAAATATATGGGTTTATTTATGTTTCAGTGGTGCTGAATCTAACATCTTCATTATTTCAAGTTTCATGAGGTCCTCATAATCCAGCACCATCTCCTCTCCCTGGGAGTCACTACCATCAACTAAAGCTCTGAAAACCTAAAGTGAAAGTAAGACTGACCATTAATCACTGTCCCATAACTAGAGAATGCTCAAGGGGAATGTGAAGATCAGAACTGTGCCAGAACATGATGCTCAGAGCCTGAAACGAAAGCAGCTCTGGAAGTTTTGCAGTGAACAAAGCAAGGAGATAAATCAGGTGTCTGAAAACTGGTCAGTGTCACACTGCTCCTCTCCAGGCTTGAGATTTTAAAAAGGATAAGTCAGAACCACTCAAGTAGAGATCTTAAGCTCACACCTACAGGTAAAGGACAGAGCCCAGATGGACAAGTGTCTCAAGGGGCCCTCCTAATATTGTGTGTTGTTTTAAAGTTCTTTTAGTACTTTTACTTAAAGTCATAAAAAAAACTTTAAAAAGAACGCACAATATTAGAGGACAGACTCACCCTTGCAAGACTGCTCCAACACTATTTAAAGGTGCAACTGACCTCCCCAGCAAAGAACAGGCTGAGATGTGAGACAGGGGGAAAGGCACCAGCCACGCATCTTTTGCAACCTGAAAGAACAAGGGATGTGTTACAGATCAGCTGAAACAGCCCTTGAGCTCCCAAGGGAAGGCAGTGCAAAACCACTGCACTAGATGCTGAAAATACCTTTAATTTTGGGAGACTTTTTACTGTGGGCAAATCTGTACTGCGCACAGTTCCAGATTCTGCACCCACAACAGAGATAAATGTCCTTAAGCCTCGGTTAAGCAGCAGCTGTGTGTCACAGGGCTGTGCTCCTGCCACCACCAGAGCATCCACTGATGGCAGAGCCAAGGGAAAAACCCCACATTGCTCCTATTAGGAATTTACTTGGGGAGAGATCAAGGAGGGAGCAGGGAGGTCATTCTGGATCCAGATCATGCTTCTTTCCCCCTCAGAGCATCCCTGGGATAACATCAGCACGTCACCCCAGCCAGCGCCATGGCCTGGGGAAGCCTCTCCGCGTCTCTTCTCATTTCATCTTTAAAAAGAAGGGAGTTATTTTTAAGACAAAGAGCAAGGAAGGATTGCCTGTTTGCTCCTCCAGTCCTGAGAACTGGGAGCTCATCCCCAGGGGAATTCTGTTGTGCTGTGTTGATGCAACAGAATGAGCCCTCTAAAACTCTGTCCCATCTGCTGCAGCAAAACTTACTTTTCTAGAGAGATACATTAATTTCAGAGTTCAGTGAAAAGTGAACAGGAAAAGTGGAACAGAACTGACCAAATACAGCAAGAATACATGAGCCAAAAAAAAGCTTTCCACTCCCAAACACAAGGATTTTCCTGTTAGGCTCACACTTAAACAAGTTCATCACGATTATCCAACACACCTCCCAGCCAAGCAGCCAAATCAGCTCCGTGGAGATAATCTGTGCTAAGGATTGAACACTATTTATTAAGCGAGCAGGATGAACAGCAAAGTGTTTTCATAGCTTAAGGTGGCAGCACACCTGTACTTAAGTCCTACTTCAAATTTAAGCACACCCTTGGAGATGGGAATGGGACAGCAGACACCTAGAAAAGATAATTGGGGTGCTGTAACCTGCAGCAGGGAAATTAGCACTGAGAGCCCTCGATTTTGGGATCAGCTGCCTATGAACTGTAGCTGAGAAACAGCAGAAAGAAAATCCAGATCCTGTTCTAAGCTGACAGCCCAACACACAGATGCCCTTCTCAGAACAGTCCCTTCAGCTGGGACTACCCCAGTCTGAACCCAAAGTTCAAGTGCTGAGGGAAACTCAGAGCTCTGTGCACCAAGAGCCCCATTTTGGAGGCAGCTGTCACACCCTTCACTCAGCAGGACCCAGCACATCCATCCCGAACAAGACAAGGTCAAATTCTGCCTAAACTGATGGGTTGAAGAAAATGAGGCAGACTTTTACCCTGAACCAAAGAGCACAGGCTGCCCAGCTCTCCCAAATCCGCTGTGGTCAGTGCAAGGTGCTATGCCGATGTGCACATGGACACTCCCCTTGCCCCAGGCACCGAAGCTGTTGGGAAAACAAGGTCAGCAGCCCGAGAAAGTTTTGAGCATCTCCCAAACCTACTAAAAACGCTTTCCTGAGGTTTGTCCAGCCAAGTTTCACCTCCTCCCTCCCCAAAAGTAACAGCTTTTGCTGCAGCCTAGCCTTTCCAGCAGTGAAATGGACGTCAAAGAAGGGAGAAAGCGGCGGGTCCATTTCCATCGCCGGGTCAGGCAGAGCTGCTGAGGATTCCCAGGGCAAAATCTCCACAAAGGTGTTCGCAGGAGAAGCCTTGGGAAGGCGGGGGGATGCCAGAAGCTTCTCCAGCCTCTCGGGAGGGCTCCTGCCCGCGCAGGGGAGCGATGGGGGAGAAAGAAACTTGAAAGAGAAGGCAACTTACTCCGTGATCTTCTTCGCCAGCTCGGTGGAGGCTGCGGTGGAGTTGGCCGAGAAGACCCGGTACCCACTTCTGGCCGCGTTCATCGCCAAAGAGTCATGCAACCCCCGTGGAGCTCGAAAGTGAGAAAAAACAGATTTATAAGGCAACAACAGCTTCCGTGGCATCCTTTTCTTTCCTCTCCGCCGCGATCACCGCCCCTTAAGGGGTGGGGAGGAGGAGGGGGAAGAGGAGGGTGGGGACCCTTCCGCTACCTATGGACTTGCTGGTCCATTCTTGCGGCAAAGTATGAACGGGAGGGTGGAAATTACGATTATTAAAATAAAATGGAGCAGCGGTTGCCTTGGGGAGTAAAGGGGTGGACAGGCAACGGGTAACCCCACCCCGCGCCCACCCAGTGACCCCTCATGCAGCAGGGGAGGGATGAGCCCAAAATGAGGGCGGGGAGCAAGGCGGAGAGGGGCTGCCTTGGCTGGAGAAGGTGTGGGTGAGCTGAGGGAGGAAGGCTGGGGGGGTTCTTTGTGATGCAGCAGGGCTGGACCGAGGTTTCCGTGGCGGTGTAGGCAGTCCCTGTGAAAGGGGAGGTCTTTGGGGAGGGACGGTCCCATCCCGCTCCCCTCACCCAGCCGAGCACGTTCCGCCACCCGGCCAGCGCGCCGCTCCCTCCGCCGCCATCTTCTCGGCGGGAAAAGCCCGCCCCCGCCGCCATCTTAGGTGAGGGCACCGCCGCCGCGCTCCCCCGTCACGGCGTCCCTTCACCGCCTGCCCGAACTGCGCCGGTACCTCGAGAGGACGGCGGCAGAAACGTCCCTCCTCGGGGGATAATTACACTTCCCGCCGCTACGAGGGCGGCTCGCAGCGTGGGCGCCTCCCGCTTCTGCCCGGCGGTGAGAGGCACGGGGTGTAGGCGGTGGCTGAGGTGCCCGTGCCGAAGATGGCGGCGGGGGAACCGGAAGCGCGGCGGCGGCGGCGCTCTGGCCCCGCTCTGTGGCGGGGGCGGCGGGAGGATCGGCCCGGCCCGCGGCTCCCGCAGCTCCCGCACCTCTTTCCCGAGGGATCGCTCCGTTCCCGGCGCTCCGCTGTCCGCGCTGGAATCCTCACGGGTACAGGCACTCAATGGCTTAGTTAAACAGGAAAGGTCAGCTCCAGCCCATCCTGGCACAGCGCTGGGCTGACCTTTCCATGCACTAAGAGTGTGTTTATATATATATAACATCTATAACACCTATAAATTAAATTTATTAACGCATATATTATAAATAATCTACACTTATAGGTAAAATACATAGAGTATTTAAAATATTAAATATATGACATAATATATGGTGTACTTATCACATATATTATGCGTATTATATAAATGTGTATAGTAATTATATCTAAAATATATATGTTATATATGTTATATGCATGGGATATATGTATCTCATATAGGACAAGGTGAAACTTGGCTAAAAATAGATGTATAGATATTTACACTTTGTTTAAAAATTTTATAATATATGCACAATATACATCTCAGCCTTGGCAGTTGGGAAAATGACAGGAGGTGACAACACTGTCAGGATCCATCCCCTGTGGTCAGGATGGATCAGAGCACCCCACAGCGCAGCAAAAATGAGGGTACATGACAGAAATTATGTATTGCAGGGAAGGCAAACTGCATTAATTTAATCACCAGCATCACCCCACATCACTTGGTTCACCCTGGAAGGAGAGGTTTCTCCTGGCAGTTCTCTGAGTTGCTGTGCCATGCCATCATCCCTGTGTCCTCGCAGCTGGGAGTGAGGGAGGAGGAGGAGGAGGCCTGGTGGGCTTCGTTCAGGACGTGGATGAGGTTCCCCTCCATGACCCAGTGGCTTTGCAGCTGCTCCAGTTCGTGACAGCCACAGTGCCTCCAGCAGCGAGTCCCTGTCACAGCCTCAGCTGCTGCCATCAGCCCCCTTACACTCACACTTCATTAAAGGTTGTCTCTCTCAGACATCCTCAATGCAGACGAGACAGAATTGTCCGTGTCCCCTCTGTATGCCAGCACTGCCCAAGGACTGGGATGGAGAGTTCGGCCACACCTGGTGACACCTTACCTGTCCCTGCAGTTCCAGCCCCACATCTCCCTCCTGCTGTGCCTCCTGCAGGTCCTAAATTGGTGCCTTGTCAGAGCAGGGACTTTTCCAGCTCAGCTGTAGAGGCTATTCCGGCTCATTCCCCCAAGGCGAGGTGAGAGCTGACAGCATCAGCTGCCTGAGTTCACTCTGAGGAGGCAGCACAGCCAGGTGTGGGATTCTGATCAGCCCTCCAGGCTGGCATCATCTTGGGATGAATCCACAACATCCATCAGCCAGAGAGCCCAGACACCCCTCCTGGGCACCCCAACCCCAGGCTGAGAGCACTCACAGCACCCATGGCACAGGCAGTCACTACTCACAGGTTGCTGCCTTTGTCCTTCAAAAAATTCGATGGGAGCCAGACTTTTTGTGATGTAGGAAGCTGGCTGCTTCCCAAGGTCCCTGCTGCACCCACCAGAGAAATGGCAGTTCCCAGGAGAGCCAGGGAAATCTTGCTGCAGGGACACCCAAGCAGGGGGCACATGCCCAAAGGCTGGGAAGGGAATTGTGCCACTGCAGGAGCCATGGCACATCCCTCTGCAGAGCACTCAGCCCTCCTCTATAAAGCCCTTCCCTGCCTGGAATCAGGCGTGTGGACAAGGAAGGACTGTGTATCCCCTTCCCAGCTGGCTCCTCACTCAGCAGCCCAGGGATGATGCTGTGGCATCTGAGTGCCCTCAGCCTCTGCTTTGCCCTCTGGGTCCCCCAGCACCCTCCTCCTGTCACCATTCCTGCTGTCCCCTGAGGTGCTCAGAGCCATCCCACACATAAGGAATGGATCTCAGCCTTGTCACTTCCCTGCCCTGTTCCCACCTGCTGAGGCTGAGATGCGACAAGTTTGTAGGTTCTGTTACAGGGCAGCCCCTGGCACAGTGGACAAGGTGTGCACACCTTGGAGGGTCTGGGTGTCCCAAACCCCCCTGTTCTGTGCTCCTGGGATTCCCCCTCAGTGAATCACCTCCTTCATCCCCGTGGGGAGAGGCCAAAGCCTCGTGGGAGTGGCCCTGCGAGTCCCACCGGGATCGTTGTTGAAGCTGCAGGGTTGGGATCAGTCCTGGCAAGGGTGGTGGGCAGAGATCACGGTGTTATCGCTGCCACAACCAGCCTTTCTCCTGGAAAGGATCTCTGATTTCTCTGCGTGCTGAAGGTCACACTCGGTTTTACAGCCACGCAAAGGAGAAGAAAGGAGCAATTCTGTTTACTTAGGGAGTCATTAATATCCCAGCTGCTGGCATGTACCGAGGCAGCAGGAACCTCCCCCACAGAGCAGCAGAGAGTGAGGCTGTGCAGCCCTTTATTATTCCATTATCAGCCAGGCAGGATTAGGAGGGCGGGTCAGGGAACAGTGCCGGCTTTGAGCAGGTTTAGCTCCTTTCCAAAGGCTTATCCTGGCTCAGTCTCACTCTCTGGACTCAACTCACTTATTCTCTACGTGGAGGGGTTTGAGTAATGCTGGAGAGAGGGTGGGCACAGGGTCATGGAGCTTTAATAGCCCAGCAGGCAAAACCTGGGAGGTTCCTTTAGCAGGAACTCATTTCATATGTTGAATTTCAGAGACCAGCGAGGGCAGTTTCTCAGCTCCGCCAACTCCTGCATTGCTCCCCAGGGAAAACCAAGCCTCGGTGCTGCTTTGGGGCAGTTCTGTTCTCGGAACAAGCCGGTGCTGGGGCGGGACAGCCATTCCAGGCGGCTTCCTGCAGAGCTGGACAAGGTTTTGCTCTTTATTTTTTACCCAAGTTTCTCCCTGGAGCCCGGGTGGGGTGGCTGGAGCGTACCGATCCCAGCCCGGCAAGGAAGGAGGAGCCGTGGGAACTGAGGCAACAAATCCCTTTCTTCTTCCAGGCCAGAAATGGGGTCTGTGATGGGTTGTGTCCCCCGTAAGTAATTCCACTCTGGGAATGCTGCCCGCCGGCATCCAGCATCGCAGCAGGGATCACCCCTGGATCGGGATCGAGCCTCCCAGCCTAGCCCCAGCCAGGTGGTTCTCATTGCAGCCTCTGACTCACCTCCCAAAAATTCCTGCGCTCGCATCATCGCAGGAAACCGCTACCGGGAAGTGGTAAAACCCCTGGACGGCTTGAAATTCGGCTTCCCCCAGCGAAGGGGGAGATCAAACGGCAGCCTTTGGCCTCAGTCCCTCTGACGCCAGGGCTTGTCATCGGGGGGGACGTCTCGGCCAGCGAGTGGTGGGTGTGTGGTTCCTCCAGACTCAGCAGCTTTTTGCCTGGCGTTTGGGAGTGTTTTCCCTGAGGAGGCCTGAGCTCAGAAATATTTTAAAGCAAATTATCAGCTGGGAGGAATGAGCTCAGCTCGTCGGCATTGTTCAGGGCCTCCCGGTGAGCCCTGCAGTTCCGGGCTGTGCCGGCTGCTGCGGGGAGCTCAGCCGAGGGTCAGTGTAGGGGAGCAGCCCCCAGCAAGCTGCAGAACCTCGCTGTAATTTAGGAGCTGCCACAAAAATACTGAGCTCCTTGGAGGCTGAGAGAAGATGGATTTTGGTGAAAACCTGCCCCCCCTGGGTCATGGGGGCAGGTAGAAGGTGCAGCCGCTTTCCTGAGTTCTGCACGAAATCAGTGGCAGAGCCCAGACCTGTGTCCGAGCTCAGGTGGGATGTGATCCCAGTCACTCTACTCCAGGAGATATCTCTGTTAGCTCTGTCCCCTCCTGCTCTGTGCTGGTCCTCCGTGTCAGCCCCAACCCCACGGCTGAGCGGGGCTGATCCGCAATCCCGGGGCTGCGTCTGCTTGGAAATGGCTCCGTCTCCGCACCGGCCGCTCCCGCAGGAGCTGCCTGGAAAGTTCCCACTGCTGCAGTCGGTGCCTGTCCCCCTGCCAAGCCTGCAGCCCTGCCAGCCCCGATGCAGCGCCAGCCGCGCTATTTCTGGCTCCACCTTGAGACATGTACCTTCAGCAGTGGGAACGATGCTAAAAGAGATGGATTCGGGAGGAGTGCATCCCCCTCCCGTTCCCGTCCCCGGGTGGCT